AAATTCACGATGGCTCAATGTCCAGATTTCTCTGCATGGTCTTTGGTTATAAGAGCGCTAAATTTGGTGCTTTTATAACAAAACACATTTTTAGCTAAGCTGTTGGAATATAATGTGATACACATTTAATTATATATGTGTGTGTGTGTGTGTGTGTGTGTGTGTGTATGTATATATATATATATATAGTTTTTCTGGAGACTTTGTCACTCTCTACCTTGAGAAGCAAAGCTAGCTTTTAACAGGTTGCATACTCTCCTACCCCGTGATTGTTGAATTTGTCAATTAGTTGACACATGAAAGAGCAACCTTTTTGTTAGGCATTTTGCAGGCAAAAAATTGAATACAAATTGAAGCTGGCAGTCAAATGGTTGCAGTTGAGTGAGCATTTCCAGCGCAGTATGACTCCTTTGTGTGGTCGGGGCTCCGTGACAGTAGCTGTGCGTTTTTAGCCAGGCTTGAATATCATATTTGACGTGAGATCCGCAACTATAGACTGCTCCCTCTCTCTGGTAAGGGAATCCCACTCACGCACATTCAGATGTAATGAGGCAGACGGCGGCATCAAAGGCTTCTTAAATCTGGAAGGAAATCCAAGGCTATGTAAATCTATATCTTGCATTCAGAATAAATGTTGTGCATTCAATATCCAGAAAGAGAGCGATGCTGTTTTTTTTTCTGTGCATGACCTAGCGAGTCTACGGCCCAAACTGAAACTTTTAGGCAGCCGTGTCACATGGTCGTCTGAAGTTAACGTTGTGTGTGAAGGTTATACGCAGTAATTTAAATTCCACTTATAAAACGCATAATCAATATGAAAAGGATGAAAGCCAAGTAACCCTGAATGATACTTTTAGTACGTGGTGTTCAGCGACTTACCCAACTGCCCCCGCGCTGATTTGTGATGCTGCACACAGCTGCAACTGTGTGGATCAGTTTTCATTCGGCTCGTGACTCCACCTAGTGGAGAGAATCGTTACGCCACTATTGTTCCAACAGGTGCGGTCCAACACTACTGAGTGATATTATGTCATAGGACATTTACAGTGATGCTGAAATGAGAAGCACTAAGCCATTTGTCATATTCAGTATAGTAGGACTTGAGATTAGCTGTCATGGGAATCGATATATATCAGTGCATTGAATTGTCGTATATAGTGAAATACAGCAAAATTGGGATAGCAACACAGGTTTAAAATCAGCTAAAACTCGACTCTGACTCTCTATCTCCTAGGATACGTACAGGGAAAATGTGAAGCAAGTCAAAGTATGCTGGGTAATGGCATTCAACGAATTACTAATGTCCCACTTTGAACCTTTTTTCCTTATTATTAGGCTCTTGTAAATGTAAGCTTGCTTTTTAGGCTTCTGTGTGACAGGAGATACACCAGGTACTCAGTGGTGACAGTTCCCTGCTAGCAATTCAAAGAGGGAGGTCTTTACCTCCCCGATGAGGTAATTTGTCACCAGGAATAAAGACAGGGGATCTCGTATTCTGTCGTTAATTTATGCACAGTATTTTGCTGCAGTGGGAAATCTAAGGTGGGGGGAAAAAAAGAAACACGACTTATACTGGTCAGCAAAGAGGAGGGGTATTGTAGGGATTACCCTCATATCTCTTTTCCTTTTCGTTTGTGAAACCTGACATGAAAATACCTTAAGTTTGGTAGCAACCATGTGTCTTTTTTGCTTAAATAAATAAAGGTGTTCCTGAATTTAATTGTTTTGATGGACATCTTTCCTGTTCTCAAACTAATTTTATGGTACTATTTATGTAGTCATAAAAAGTCATAAAAATGTTACTAATAAATTTGAGAAACTGACAAAATTTATTTAGTTTCAGATCAACAATACAAAAAAAACATTTAAAGAATACTCCAGATCATTATAGAATACAATAGTGACATTTTCAAATCAATGCTTGCTGAAATTTCAGCTGATACTGCAAAAGAATGTGATTGTAAGCACAAATCATAAATCAATAAAGCTGCCTCTGTTGCTGTTGTACATATTTTGTGCAAATCTTTTCAGTTTCTCCAGAGGTAAAGTTCAAGGCTTTACAGGAAAGGGTTGATTTGTTCAAAAAACAAACAAACAAAAAAAAACCCACAATAACTTAAGAAAGAGAATCCAATATCCCAGAAACTGTAAAGATTTCTATTGGTACGGCTGTCACACAGAAGAAAGACTCAATAGTTATTACAATGGTTGTCAAGAAAAGAGAATGATGTGCAGAGACCCTTATAGAACAGCAACCAATTGAAATACTGGTTTTATTACCACCCGTGTAACAACTTGCTTTAAATCCGTTATCAAAAATGGCTGCAAAATACAAAAGGTGGCAATCTTGTAGAATGAGTGTTGCCTCAACTAAATTCACATTTATTTTTTTGTTTAAATGACATCTGGCCCTGAGTTGCTAAGAAAACAGACACGAGCCAGACCTCTATAATAGCATTGCCCTGGATAGAGCTTGGCTGTATTTCAGAAATGATGGATCGCTGTAAAGGTACAACTCTGGCTGCCTGGCAGGGCCCCCACGCGGTAAAAATGCTGTTGTCAGCGTTGCTCTTCTCTGCCTGAGCGGCCTGCCCCCCTACCCCACCCCCCCGCCCCCCCAGAGCTGTGGAGAGGCCCCGTGGCAGCCAGAGGATAATGACACAGTGAGACTCTCTGGCAGGAAGGCACGCTGTGTCCAAAAAGAAGAGGACCGGGTGCTTTTGAGTAAAACACCCAGAGAATCAGAGGAAGGGAGCTGCACAGACAGAACAGAGGGGTCTCCTCACACGCTACCACGGTATTACACCAGGACATGCAGTCTCGTGAATGGCTTTCCCCGTGAACATTAACTTTAGTTCATTATTGAACCACTACTGGATTTACACCAGATCTACACATTGTCGAGACATTAAATCTTCTTCTGAGCATTTTAATACCACATTTTACAATGGGCCAATAAAAGTGCTGAGAAAACCCCAGACCCCTGTCAATTAAAGAGAGGCAGCCATGTCAAAATAATTGGTGTCGTAACGAACAGTCCAGTTGGTGTCATGTGTAACACTTCAGGAATTCTCCGGGTAATTCTGACGTGTGTTATCATTACCTTGGAGCAAAATGCAATGTAAATGATGGGTAAGGACAGTAGCTGTGGAGTAAATCTGATTCCTTTTAAACCATTTTGTGACTTCGCCTGGTAAATGAGAGGAGATAAAATGCGGGGAGAAAAGCAGTCTGGTTTGGATGGAGGGTGTTTGTTTAGGGATCAGCTGGGGTAGGGGACACCTAGGGTAGTGTCCCGGGCGCGATGGGTCGCGCAGCGAGGGTAATTGAGCACGGTTTGGTGGTTTGGGAGTCTGTAGGTGACTGAGTCAGGGGATGTCTGTTCTCCAGCCGGCCGGGTACAGGTCTTGCGTCTCGGTTCGATGGTGTCTGAGGGCAGAAGTCCCCAATGTGCGACTGCCCCCAGGCTGTCCATTACTTAGGAGAAAAAAACTACTGACAGCTTTCTCACAGTTACTCCCCCCCAGCCTGCCAGCCATGCTGATTGAAGGCCTGTGCGTCCACCATGTCATTATATAATAATGCACTTTTAAAGCTATCGAAAGAAACAAGAGTCAATGGTCAATAGTCTTCCAGGCATCCCTACTTGTAATGTTTATACAATCACGTATGTGGCCCGCTTTGCTAAGCTGTTTTTAAACAGTTCTGAAACTGACCCGCATATTAATGTGCAACAGATGTCCTCACATAAAAATTGCTCACTTTACTTGTTTATGCAGTTAATTAAGATAGTGATCTAATATGGATTTGTACTGAGCGTCATCAAAGAATTGTCAACCAACAATTTAATTTAATAAAAAGTAATGGAATAAAGAAGAATGCATAGATTCTATAAAATCAGATCGTAGACATTCTGCAGGTTTTCTGAAACTCTCCACCTCCACCTCCAGTGTTGGAACATCTTCTATCCATCTATCTACCCATCTTCCTTGCAGCAAATCCAGTGCAGGATGACAATGAGTCTGGTGCCCTATTCACTGCATATATATTTGACAAATACTTTCCATAATAAGAGATATATGTAACTCCCTTTCAAAATTCAGAAATATTCAGGTGCTTTTTTTTTCTCTTCCTTTTTTCTTTTTTTTTTTTGCTGCACCTTGAGGTTTATTCAATGCTGGAAAAGGAATGATGAATTTCCCAGCCATGTATGAATGTGACAGGTTATATCAGAGAGGACAAAAGCGCAGGACAGCCAGGTTTTGGTACAAAAAGGGGATGAGTAGCCAGCAAAGAAGTGAAAGTGAAATAACATCCAGGCAGAATGAGCTAAACAAACCTTGTACAGACGAAACACATAGTTCACCCTTTGCTGTTGTCTTTCGCTTCCAAAAAAAAAAAGCTCACCTAAGCTACAAATTTGACCCTCTAATAAACCCTAACAAATAACTTAAGCTAGGCTGCGCTTTGTTAAATATGTAACCCATTTGCCCCCAATTGGAAATTAATCATGATAGCAACACAAGAGATTTATAATAAAGCTTGAACCCCTGCAATATACCCTCAGCTGAATTAAATTACATATTTGAGCTAGCAGAGAATGTTATTCCATTTTCTGTCGGCTTTATAGGTCTACAATAGGGGGTGGGCAACCTTATCTGCAAAGGGCCAGTGTGTATGTAGGCTTTTGGGATCACCTTTAGGTCAGCTGTTCAGGTGTGAGGACTCTTCAACCAATCAGTCCTCTAATTAATACTCTAATTACGGAGATGCAGTAGCCCTAACTGGATAATATTGGACACCCCTGGTCTACATCTACATTTATTTCAGTGAAGAAAAAAAGGGCACTGATTTATATATATAAAAGAAGTAAACTGTCATATATATGAAAAGTAATTTGTTATTGATTTCAGTTTTTCACTCAAGGGACTTGAGTTTCACTGAATCAGTTTATTCAACAGAGAAATACACACTTCAAGGACCAGCACCTTTCAAACCAGTAATGGGAAAGATATATTTAATCAATATTCCGTTGAACAAATTCTGCTAATAGCCCCCATATGATCTTAAAATATATAAAAAAATATCATTTGAAGCATTCAATTTCCCTTAATTGCTTGTGCAGTAAAAGGTACTGCTCCTGTATGATTGTTTGTGGTTTCTGCTGCCAAATCACCGACAGGGAGAAAAAAACAAACAAACTCATTATTTCCAAATAGGCCATTTCAGTTCCAGTTGTTCTTTTTATTAATTTGCGCATTTAAGCTCCCAAAATGCAGTAATTCCACTGCCTTTGATTACTGGCCAAAGGGAAACCACCACTAGCTGGATTCATCAGCCCCATGTGCTCCCAGAAGCACCCTGATGGACGAAGTGCTTCGGTAAGTGTAATCTGTGGGTGTAACATCCAGTCATGCCGTTATTTCACCTGGAGATAAAAAAAACACACAAAATACTCATTTCATCCAACTTGTCTCTGAGTATAAGACTACAATCACACTAACAGTTAAGGGCAATCTTTGTAATTCTATTATAAGATGCTAAGACAGTACATGCCATAAGGTGCAGTCTTATTATTAGATGGTCCGCTATTGATTTTCTGTGTGTGGGCAGGACTGCCTGAATGTGCTTTCAAAGAGAAAAGGAACAATTCACTCATGCCCCTGAACTTGCTGCTCGACATGGATTGGGAAAACCTGCAGAGTCTTCAATAAAAAAAAGAAGCTGCTCTGATTTAATCTTTAATTAATTGCGACATTTAGATGTCAAATTATAATGCGGTCTGTACGAATAATGACCTTATGCAGTGTCCTGGCTCAAAGGAAAAAAAACATTTGTACAAACCAGTGAGATTTCAATAGATGAACTTGGCAAAGGAAGATTCTTCTTCTATTTTTACCTTATATTTCAAGTTTGCGTGGTACCTTGCAAATCCCGAGAGCCGAACCTGCCACTTATCATTATGGGATGTCCTTAACCTAGCCTACTTTGTTTCCTTTGAACGGCACTGCTACCAAACCGATACAGTGGCTGGCTCTCCTTTGATCAGTGTTCATTAAATCATCGCAAGTTGGTGAATCACACGCATACGCTCTGAAGTACACCCACACATGCACTCGGAGCTCTTTGCTCCTGGGTGTCTTTTGAACGTGCACTGGAGTAATCAATCTGAACATCAACCTGAGACTCATTTAGGTTGCTGAAGTGCATCGGGCATGTTAATTGATGCCTGCTGGCACTGGCTCGTTAAGCGATAAATTATTCGTGCCACAGCATTAGGCTGTGACCATTGGTACTTGTTACAATTGCTTTATTGATTGATCTTGAATTTATCTGTACAGGCTTGGGCAGAAATAATTCACTGTGAACACCATAAAAAAACTTCTGTACTGCACAATAGAAGGAAACCTTCATATACAGTTTTGCTTTGTTGTAACAATAAATAGTCTCTTAAGATAATACAAGAAACAATATTGCAGTGTTTAAAAACATGAATGGCCAACCTAGTAGCTGCTTGTACAGTTCTGAATCCCCGATGTAGTACGGTTGAGTACTGAATTAATAAAAAGTATTGCTTTATTAAGAACAAAATTATTGTTTTGAATTGATATTCCACCCACAGGCCTGTCACACCCCTTTTTAATTATATCTGTTGTTCGTGGAAAGGCTCTGTCCCAGGGACCCCCGTTTCCAATGTGGGATTCGTTCCATTGGATAGCTTAATTATCGACTTGATGTTTGCCGTCTGTCTTTTCGAGTTCTTACCGGCGCAGAATTCACAAACATTCTTAACAACAAGTTCTCGGTCAGTCGTGGTCAGAATTTAGCCCGGCGTTCCTCAGCCTGGTCTTCGGGGACAGCGCAGACGCAGACGGTCCATGTGTTCCATCCCTCCCAGCTTCCAGGGTTCCTGGGGTCCTCGAGCACCGGCTTGAGAAACACTGATTTAGCTCACAGTTTTTTTTTTTTTTTTTTTGCAAAAAGGAGCATTCCAAAGTCTGGCAGACCTCTTCTGAACTAACTTTTTATTATAACCCAGGGATAAGGGACAGCCACTTATCTGTAAGCAAAAATGCACATTCTTGAGAGCAGAGATGAAGAATGATCTCATCTATCATGCAGAGAACATCTCTATGAATGTGTTTTTTAATTCCAAAGCAGAATTCCCTCTTTTTTGTAAGTCTATGCACCTATCGACAGCCTATTAAACATAACAAAAATAAGTGCAAAGAACATTTAGGCTGCACTGGTCACCTCTTGGATTTCTGTAAGCAGTGAGGGTAGTAAAGGGAGAAAATATCCTGCAAGGATGTAATATAATGGTGAGGGCAGCCCCCAGATAAACAGATAGATGAAACTGGAAGGTTAGGTGTCAGCAATGAGAAGACGAGACGTGACAGCCGGAACTGATAACGCCTTTCAGTAGGCAGACAGATGATGAGAGATTTTACTGCACGGCGCTACATGTGGAGTTTTGGGGTGCAGAACCCCGAAATGTTTCTATGTGCTTGTCATTTAAGGTCCACAATAGACGTGCTGTTAAAATCTAAAAAACATACCGTGCAGAAGGAAAGATTTTTTTTTTTTGTGGCCTCATGGGTTTACAAATCATGAGGATACGTTTGCTTTTTGTAAGAAAACAAAAATATAATCAGTTCCAATATAATGGTTATTGGACTTTTTATTTTCACTTTGATTTTATTCAGACAAAGTATATAGAATTTTAGATATTCTCTCAAGCAATATTAGGATATTTCATGAGACTGTGATTGCATTTTATGCAGTCAAATCTACATATTTATACTTTCTTTTGTTTTCTTGCATTCAATTCCTTCTTTTTATTGTGTAAAAATGTGTTTGTGTTGATATCCTGCTAAATATAACAAACAGACATTAGAACAAAAAAAAAAAATCACATCTGATGAAATGATAATTCATGCATGAGAGGTCTGGCTGCTCTTTGACATATCATCCGCAAACTTGCCTGGTGTCTTATGGTCTTTTATTTCTTTCGACATCAGACGCCCACAACAGACGGCCCAGCTTTCTTCTCCGTGATGGAAGGGCCTGTCCTGCTTTTGACAGTCGACTGCAGTAACTTCCTGGCTCAGATGAGAAGTAAGGCTTTTACGGCCCAACGTGCGCACTATGGTTGACGCCTTTACAGATGTTCCTGCAGCTGTCCTGAGCACCTGGCTCAGAAACCCATGGTCAAACCCTTGCCCCTGCACCGTCGGACAACCACTATGGATGTGTTAAAGGGTTCTCCTCTTCTGGCACGGGGGATGTGCTGGTGAGCTGAACCTGTCGCAACAGAAGGAGTTTGATGGGCTAAGTAGGCCATTTGGCTTTCCATTACCTCGCTAGGCCAGGTTACGGCAGTGCTTAGTCGTGCTTATTGATTTCCCACAGTCATTTCCAGACCTGAGCTTGGAAAAAGCATGCTTTTTCCACGCTTCAAGCATTCCTGTCTGGTTCTGACAAATGTCCCTTATCTTCAGGCACTCATATCTAAGGTACCATCCTTTTGGCCCGAAATCAAATTTATATTTCATAATGATTCAAGACGGTAATAAGAGAGTCAATCATGTTAGACATTCAAAACACAAATTTTGCAAATGCACATGTGAGTTTTTGTTTTGTTATTTTATGTCTGTAACATAAGGTGCCTCCTTTAGTAGATTATTGCACTGACAGCGTGAAGGTTGTGGGTTCAAATCCCAAGATGAATGCATATAAATTGCAGCCATTCCCTCTGCTGTTAGTTGCTTTGAGTAAAACTGCCATATCAGTAAATGTAAAAAATATAAATGGAGTACTTTGTGGACACCGTAAATAATGGCTCTCACCTATACAGCAAATGAACACAGAGACTTACATCTTTCTGAACTTGTGGGTATCCCCTCAGAATTTGCATTGTGGGGTGCTGTTGAAGGTGACACTGCAATGACTTAAGAACTTCTCCACAGCAGAAAATGGAAAGAGGGTTTCTGTTCAGCGTTTGGCAGTTTAGCTTCTCTTGCAACCTGGCCCTAAGTCGAGCTTCATCTGTCACAGCCTGACAGTGCAGAGCTCCTCTTGCTTTTAACTTGCTCTCTTCATCAGCGCCATAACACTTATCGCCAGAAATCCCAGCACTCGCCCCTCATGAATGAATCCACTGATTCCTCACTCATGCTGCTGATTACATATGTTTCACTTTTTAATAGCTCTACAAGGACTGGTTCCTTAGGGTTTACGGCAGCTCATGCCACATACGTTACCTGCCAATCCATGTGTTGTTCTACTAAAACTTGAATTTTGTAAAAGGAGAGGTTTTAGAGCGTTTAAGGGAGGTCACTTGCCTGTTATTTACCTTTGAACTTGGCCAGTTGTCTGTCTCCTGCTTGGTTGTCATGGTGAATTTTGAATTCATCTGTGCTGTTGTAAAGGCTATTCTCTGTGCTCCTGTAATGGATTTTGTTCAGTGATCTTCCTTCTTTTTGAGGACCAGAATTCTGCTAGAAATGTTGACGAGATGGTGGATTTCTCCAGCTGGGCCAGGGGGTAGATGGTCATCTCTGAGTGCTTTTATAAGCTGTTCTTGTGTGCTTGTTGCCGGTAGCTTCCCTTAGCATTCCAGCTAATTTTAATCATTGTTATCTGCAAGGGGAAGTATGATTTTGCAAATGACACAGGTTGTGATGATTTCGTATTCTAGTCTTGTGCTACGCCAACATTACAAACGTCATCAATCCTCAGGCTAAAATTGCCATAGTCGTCCAGTTTAAGATCCTGACTTTGCAGTAACCTTCATTAGTTTATGGAGCGTTGAGGAATGTGTCTTTGCAAGGTCCAAGCATAACAATTGCAGCTCTACTGCTGTGTTCTTGCATGCCTCCCTAGTCTGACTCATCATCCCTACGTCATAAAAACTCAACGCTCAAAAAAAAAAATGTCTGTCCTCTGGATGGAACAACGGAACAGGGAAATTCTCAACTGGTTGGTATTTCAATAGCTTTGCTCCTCACCCATTGACAAGACACTCTGTCTTTGCCTCAGACTGGCTCTCAAAATTCTTCACGGTTGACAGTGGTTGCCAGTACTAACAGTACGGAGAACTTCTGTATCCTGGAGTTGACTGCCCTTGCCTGTAGTCCTATTTTGGCTGCTCCTGCTTTCCGCTGCCCTCTCTTTTCCTTTTCAATACCCCCCACTCGGGCCTTATTTGATGAATCATCTCTTCCGTCCCTTCACCTTTATCAAAAATAGGATCTTAGTCACTTCTTTATACTGGGTAGCAAACTAATTCCAAAGTAATGCTGATTATAATAGTAGACATAGTCTGCGGGCATTTGTCAGCATTATCATTATTGCTACTTCCAGCATTCTGTGCTGCTTATCAGATTGACTCCTCTCCGTCTTCTCATTGGCTAGAAGCCACCTGATCCCACGATACACCAATGGCACGTAAAGGCTTCTGGCAGTGTGAAGTGCCTTTTCCTGAGTCCTCACCAGGGCTGTTTCCTGAGTGCCGCATGTCTCATTTGCCGCCTGCGAGGATTTTGCGTCGTACTGGCAGAGATTCAAGCCACACATGCTCTCACGGACCTTGTCATGCACCCCGCCGTGGCTATTCCTCACTGCCAGCAGTTCCTCCAGATGTCGCCGCATTTCTATGTGTTCTTGTCAGTCACTGATTATGCCAGCAAGACAAAAATATTCTCTAGGTGGGGAGCTTCATCAGTGCGGTAGGCGAGGCAGTAAGAAATATTGGACTGTAACGAGAGAGAACAAAACACTGAGTCTAAATAATTAAATCCTGTGTTCGGGTAGATCTGACATCTATGCTCCTGGAAATGTTCTATGAATTTTAACATGAGAATTAAAGTAATACACCAGGTTTTTCTGTGACTTATTTTTATATTGTTTTAGGAAACCCCCAGTCTGATGACATTTTTTTTTTTCTATGCTACGTTTTTTTTTTGCTTTTAATAGAATGGATATGAAGACAAAATACTCCATCCATCCATCCATCCATCCATCCATCAAGTACCTGCTTATCCTAGTAAGGTCTTGGGGAGGTAGAGGGTGGATCTCAAGCAGCACAGGGCACAGGGCTGGGGGACACCCTGGATGGGATGCCAGTCCATCACAGGGCACAGGGCTGGGG